AAAAGGTATGCTATAGTATGAGATTCCAACTTATGCAATTAAAAGTCCATGACTAGCCAAGTGTTTTTAGAGAGCCATAATGTCACTTCTGCCCCCAAATATTTCCTCTTCTGGCTTAAAATCTCCTTCATTACATCCATTAGTACCTTCTGCTCACCCTGAAAGCAGAGCTTTCAGAGTCTTTTCAGAGTCTTTACTGTGGCTATATTTCTAAAGTTCTTAACAAGCCCATGTTGAATACATTTTTTAAAAGATTTTATTTTAAAGTAATCTCAGCGCCCTATATGGAGTTCAAACCCACAACCCCAAACCCCAAGATCAAGAATCTCATGCCCCACTGAGTCAGCCAGACACCCCTGAATACATCTTTTAAGTTTTATTTTTATTCCTTTGTTTCCTTGTTTTTTTTGCTTCTCTAATCACCGGCATAGATAATTACTTCCTTCTAGGGCTCTCATCACCAGCCTCTCTCTCCCCTCACCACCTCTTCCTACAACATTCCTTTCTTTACTCACTCCTAATGCTATAGGAACACCCATTCTATTGACTTTATTAATTATGAGTGAACAAGATTAGCCCCATGCGTACATTTCTCAAACACAGCAATACATAAGGTACAAATGGCATATTGCTATGTACTTATTGTGTAAAAGCAATAATAGGGATGTTAGTTACTGTTAACATTACAAGCAACAATAATGAATGCTTTATACTGCCTGTATGTATAGTACATAATGGATGTAAACTTTCCTTTGCATGAGTGTATCTGGCTACCATGTCCACTTACAGACGAAGATCGTTATTATGTACATTTGCATAATACTTGATGTACCAGTTGAAATTTTATCTCCACATACCTCTGTGGGAGTCTGTTGAGTCTTTTTTTCAGATTTTGGCAAATCTTTGCTTCCTCTTCTTTTTAAGGATAGCTGAAACAAAGCAGGGATGTATTTAGTTTGGCGAACTATCATTTTAACTCCATTTTATGTTTTTAAGTGTCTAATGTCATGTGACCAAGCCAAGCCAAATAAAAAGTGTTAGTTCAATAACCATAAAGGAGGAAAAAACACCAAACCAGGTAGATTTTTTCTTTGGACTGGGAAATACTTCACAGTAGAAGAGTAAGTGGCAATCATCTAAATAATCTGAGGAAGGGCAGGAAATCTACCGTAGAGCTGCAGAGAACAACCTGGATAAAATTCAGACTGATGACCTAATATGCGATATATTCCAAATGAAAGCAAATCCTTGTTAGCATTCTACATCACCGAAGGGGGAAAAAAAAGACGAATAGGGTATTTCCAGTCAAAGGCAGGTTTCTATAAGCTTGTAAAGACAAACTTTTACTGGGTTTGTGTAGAATTGGAACAATTTTACTCTTTCCTCACCACACATCTATGCAAACAAATACAACACACAGATACCCATACAAACGTGTAGTATGTAGGGGATGGTTACAGTGAAATGGAGAGGACATGTTCTTTCTAAAGGAGCAGGCTGACGGGGAGACTCACTCGGTTAGGTGTCTCACTCTGATTTCGGCTCAGGTCGGGATCTTGCGGTTTGTGGGATCAAGCCCTGCATCAGGCTCCACATTGATGGCGCGGAGCCTGCTTGGGATTCTCTGTCCCTCGCTCTCTGCACCTCGCTCTCATGCCCCACTTGCATGCTCTCTCCCTTCTCTCTCTCAAAATAAATACATAAAGTTAAAAAAATAAATAAAGGAGGAGGCTGAGTGGGAATTAGCTTCAGCTGATTGGTACAATACAGGAATGTGGGCTTTTCCTAGAGTAGCTAGGAATCTGGATTTTGTATTGGTTGGCCCTAAATGAAATTCAGACAAACAACACTTTGTAGGTCAAAAAATACATATCTAGTGCCAAATCCTTTCACGGAACAGCAATATACGATCTCTGGTACTCTGTTCCATTTCTCAGCACCAATATAATAAGAAGGGTCCTTCTGTATAAATAATAATCCATATGTATGAATACCTACCATATACCTAATATTGTACTGGATATCCAAATATCAATTAAATAGTACACTTATCATCAGGAAGCTCAGAATACACCATGGGAGACAGAGAAGCAAACAATTATACTGATTGGTAAATGCCATGCTTTAGGTTCTGTGAAGCAGGGGCTTTGTCTTAGCGTGGCATCACCACTATTAGGATGGTACTTCATCACATGACAGAAATTGGGAAAAATATTTGCTGAACTAATGAACAAATATAAAATAGGAGGTTGTGAGGTCAAAGAGGAAGATGGGGATATAGAGTGAATATAAAGGCAGGAAAGGCTTCTCAAAAGAGGAGGCTTCATGAAGTTTGCAAAGAACTTCAAATTACATTTTTCCCATCTTCCTTTCTAACCCATATCCAGTGTTCAATGTAGGCATATGTTCAGGCCCAGAAGGCAGAGGCTGCATTGCTGCAACTGTTTTCATTCAGTATGAAATTTAAACTACAGAGCCAAATGAATGGCCTGTGTGCTTATTTCCACTTCTTTACAGAAAGATGCTATGTTGCTTGTATAATCTTAGAAACAAAAGCTGTCGGGACTGATTCGCCATAACCAAAAGTGGTTTACAAACCAATCAGCAAAAACAGTCCCAAGAAAACCCAAGAATATAGCAAGCTGAACTAGGGAATCCTGGAACAGTCTGCATAGGGGCTACCTACAAAGAAGCACTCAAATTCACTTTATTAAATATTTACTGAATATTTTTATTTTGAATATATTTTTATACATTTATTAGTGCTTACTAATGCACTTCATAAGGTACCTGTGATACAATAATAATAAAACCAGCATGATCACTGCTTATTATGAGGTTCCTAATTTACCTGGTAAATGGTCTTTTCAGTCTGCAATTTACAACAGTGTGATGAAAGCAATGATAATGTAAAGATAATATTAACTGGCATCGACTGAGCACAAATTCATGTCAAACACTTTACACACATTATCTCAATTAATTCTTAAAACATCCCTTCAATTTAACAAGCTCTCCAGGTGATTCTGAGACATGATAAAGTTTGAGAAGCACTGGTCTGAAATCATTGCTTGATAAGTAGCAGAATCAGGTTTTGACCCAAGTCATTTTGATCTTTATTATACTAGATCATAAGGAGAAAGGCTTAAGTCATTCTGGGGAGGAGTTGGTGTGGGAAGCTAAGGATAATTTCCAGAAAGAAGTAATATCTTATCTTGAATCTGGAAAAAGAGGAGTAAGCCAGTCAAAGAGAAGAGCAGAAAGGGTAGAGCAAAGCCTTCCATGTGGAAAAACCATTTCTGGGAAACAATTCAGTATGTCTGTAACAAAATGTAAGGAGAATAAATGACAGTGATGGCATGAGTCAGATCTTGAAGGATACTGAATAGGGTTGTTTCAAGAAAAAAGCGTCCATAAGCAGACTGTCACAGAAGAAACATACACACAAAAGTAGAAGTTCCAATGGCCATGAGGTAAAGGGCCATCATACAAGGGAAATGAGGGGAGGTATGTTCTAATTCTGGGAGCTTTTTGGAGGGGGTCTTTATTTTTCATTCATTCCATAGATATTTGTTGGGTTCTGGCATATAAATGATACTACATAGTTATACAAATATGACTGAGCAATATTTTATTCTCTTCCCCACCAAAGAGCTAACTTTACGATGGCTAAAAGCATGCAGATAATTAACTAAAACAGTAGACAGAATTAACTAAGGGCAATAAATGAAGAACAAAAGATCGAGAGGACAAAGAAGCAGATATGATCCCAGATCTGGAGAAACCAGAGGAAATCATCTAAGATGGCTGATCTTTGAAGGATGTACAAAATGTCAACAAACATAAAACCAAATAAAAGAAGAAGCAAAGAGTCAGGAGAATGGGTGTGTCTTTATACAGTCACTGCCTTTCTGACAAAAAGTAATGGAGGCAGAGGCACTACAGAGGTGAGGCAGAAGAAGGCACTTACAGGGCTGAGGTCAGCTTGTGGAGCTGAGAAATTTAGACTTTATCCTGTGGGCAATGTTAAAATGAGCCCTCTAAATTAATATAGGAGAAATGCTGAAACCAGGCCATCGTTTCCTAAGAGGCATTTTCTATTTTACTTTTATTTGAACAGCAATCAAGCAAGGTGTCAAACCCACAGCCCTGAAAAAAGATTTCTTCCTGAATAAAGGTACACAGCCTTTAAGGCGCCTCTAGTCCAAGTACCTTTAATAATCACATTTAAATGTTCAATAAATATTTCATCATCTTTTCATATTCCAGCAAGTTTTTATTAACTTTCTGACTCCAATAAAACAAAGATGAGGCTCATCTGGATAGGGAAAGTTGGAGAAATAATGTAAATCCCGTCTCTTTCTTGTGAGTATAAATTTTCATCATCTCCCCCTCGTCATCTGGGCACCTCTTCAGGGAAGCAGTTTGGGATGCTAGAACGAAATCTCACATTTCGTCTTTGCTCTTGAAGTAGGCGCTTCCTACTAGAGAAATATGTTGAAAACATGTCTTGCCCATGTCTTAATTCTTTGCATTCCCTGCCCCAACTAGCCCAAAAGAGACTGCTGTTCTTTTTATCCATGTGAAGGCCAGGAATTCAAGACTTTTTCCCAAAAAGCATGTTTGCACAGCAATTATATAAAATGGGTTGTTTGTGTTCTAAACAAACAATTGTTTGTTTTGAGACTGCCGTTTTTCCTCGGTTGAAATTCGGTCAGCTTCTTAATAGGTAGCATCTTGATGTTCTCAGCGATCAAACAACCTGTCTGAAATGGCACCGAAAGACAGAGTATATATAAAAGTCTCCTATGTATTTGATAAAATTAAAGAGATCCATTTGTACAGTGATGAAATCAAGAAGGAAACCATAACTATATTAATATCTAGGATTTATGAGCACTAAATGTCTGCTGTGCACATTTCTAATTGCTTAGTATGTAAAGTACTCATTTGATCTTGCAACCGTCTTAGGAGTTTGGCACCATTATCTGAAGCACACCAAGGAAAAATCATCAGCTAGTAAGTGGCTGAATCCCGAGGTAAGTTACCAGCTTCAGAGCTCTTGTTCTGAACAATGACGTTACTGTGTTCCTCCAAAGGAAGAAAAGTACAGGATTATATTATTTCTGAGCATATTCTTCTCTATGCTATTCCACCACTGCTGCATGGGCTTGGGGCACTAGTTTACATACATTACACACAATCAATGTATTTTTCTATTTTTAACATAGGAGTCACCAGAAG